AAGTGGGACAATTTCCCTAAAGAGAATGCGTGTGGCATTTGTGTTAAACTGATTCTGTTTCAAAGTGCACGGAATATGGCTCTTTGTATATATCCTAGCTGACATCAGGACAAGACTGCAAGGTGTTTCAAGGGAACTTAATATCTATATGGTATTGAAAAGTTTCACCTATTGATACAAAACGCCAGTGGGTGTGTAGGGAAGTTTTTTTGCCACTTCTGAGTTAAATCACTGAATTAACCAATTTTTTAGCCAATTGCCTAGTTTTGAATGACTGAAAGAAGGTACGCAGTACTTGGAACACTTCCAGAGGTTGCCCCAATTACATGGAAGCATTATTCACTAAAATTTTCAAAAAAATGAAACATCAGCTTTGTACTTAAGCGTGGTAAATGTTAGCTGAATAACCAGCTGATGCCATGGAATTAATTAATTCTGCCGTTGCAGACTGTTTGTCCTACTTGATTCAAGGCAAGACATGTAAGTAAATGCACTTTATTCCGGGTTATTGGGATGAAATTGGAACATATAGCCACACCCAAAACTGAGGTAAAACTGCTTTAATGCTGCCGTAGCAATATCCTCATCGTGTAATGCATAACATTAATGCATGTTTTCTGGATGAAGTCACACTTATCCAAGTGTCTTGGCCGGTCTTGTTGCAAAGGAAGTACCAACGGGCTGCCACGTAACTGTTCCAGGATCCAATATAGTTTCTGAAATCAGTTTATCCATTCGCCTCAAGAAGTTTCATTTGTAATTTCACCTGTGGGCCTTCTAAATACTGTCTAGGAACAGCTTGTTTTATCTTCAATTCAAAATTTTTTTGTCCAGAATGACAATTTTGTCTGAGGACTGTTTTTGAGGTATTCAAAAAATCGGCATCTTAGACGCTATCTTGATTTGCGCCTATAAACTGCGCTGTCAGACAAGTGGAACTCAGGGAATTTAATCACCATGAGCTAGACACACCGTAACCACAACTAACCATAACATTACTGCTTACTCTTCCCACTTTGCATGACTGTACAGAAACCTTAGCCATGAGAAGAATCCCCACCGCTTAATTAGATTCCTGAGTTTATAAACTGAAGGTGTATCTTTATTTTTCTGCCAACTCCGTGGCTTGCAGCTAATCAGTACCCTTCAAACATAACACCTCGTGCCTGAGTCCAGACCTCTGAGGTCAAATGATTTAATGACTCTGCCTAGGTTGTCTGCTCAGCGGGAAATTAAATCACATTCCTGCAACTCATGTCCTCCACGAATTTTTGCTAATACCTTCTTGATTAGTGACAACGTTCACCTTCCCTGAAGACCTGTATTTTCTTCCAGAATCCTTCGAGTTTTGAGTTGTTTTTCTTCGGAGTCTACCACGGAAGAATTTGTTGCACTTGGAGGGTGACGGCAGTTCGAAGAGTTCGTAAATGACTTTGCCTGGTGTACAAGCCGAGACCAAACAACTGCCAATGAAGGCCCACAAAACACTATTAGGAGCGCCCGGAAGTAATGAAAATGTGAGGAAAGCATTCATGCGAAATTTGTCGGCTTTCGTAGTGAATGTCAACCCGATCACATCTGACAGTTTCACACCTTTGAAGGTGTGAAGGCGGATTCTTTCAGACTCTTCCCTCACATCGCAGCCTGTTGCTTATCAGAGCTTGGTTTTAAAACATCGTCGTCGATAACTGCTTGAGTGTATCGAACCAGCTTACAGAACGCTCAACTAGCCACCATGCTTACAACACTGTATACGTGTGCATTATTTAGATTTACCGCATACATTTCGTTCAGAAACTTGGAAAAACCTAATCCTCACTCAATTTGGTTTTTTTCCAATCATTTGATTTGTTTCTTGATTTTAACTTCAAGATTTCGGAAGTCTACAATGACGTAAACGTCATTGACCCTCTTGATTTCTGTTAAAAAGGTACAACTTCAAGCAATTTTCTGAGATTTTAGCACTTTTTAACGAAAATTGGTACATAGACGTTTAGATGGATACAAAGCGCCTTCAGCCTCAGGTGATCGGAAGAAATTTTCGCTTGCATGCCCCTGTTTTCTTCTCTTTAAAGTGACCAAAGTGACTGAGTGGATGCCCCGATATAAAACTCAAGGTCAGGAAAAGACAAATCCCAATTGCTGTAACGTCGAGCTTTCTTTGGTAACAGCGTTAATTTTATGCATTGTTTGAATTTCTTGACTTTCGTGTGACATTCATGCCGCCTAGGGAATTCGCAAATGATTTGGAAGTTCATTTCTACCTTCATTAGTAAGTTGGTTCATTAAAGCCAATTGTGCGGCCCTTCCCACAAGTTTCTTAATAACCTCAACTCACTATTCTGCCCAATGCAATAATTTTTCGTAATGAACCACTGGCTTATTGAAAACTTACTGATACTGAGGTAATACCTGTCCCATAGAATGTGCATTTAAATTCACTAAACGACCTATTACTCTACTCACTTAAATGCCACGATTAGTCCTGCTGAAAATGTGTCTTAGGCTCGTTTAAATACATACCAACGTCGTTTCCATCTCACGGGGCTTCAAAAACGTTCTCTTGGGTCAATCCCTTTGGGTCCTGAAGGTAGCAACATGAAGCTGGTATTGCAGTTACTGCAGATTACTCCTGTCCGGGTTCTTACCGCCTCCAATAGGTAAGTACGGACACTTTTAAAAGATTGCCGGAAATTCGGACGATGCAGCGCCAACTTTCGACCCAAGGATTAACATTTCGCAATGAGCGTGCTGTGTGTTTACAACACGATTTTGTCATGAATAACGGCTTGGCTAATTCTAATTGCTCTCTGCCTTTGGGTTACCTAAGTGTATGTTGTCTAATGCTTAACTAGCACAACTACCCCTTTTTCTCCCCGAGTTTACTTCTGTCGCCTTGTATTTTTTTTTCGTTATTCGTCCTAATGACATTTGCTATTTTTATGCATGCTAACAAATGCATTTTGCCTTTTCTAACACCGTTTTAATACGGCGCATTTACATGACTGGCCTAAAATTGGTATCGTTAAGCACGTTTAAAGGAGGCTGGTTGCATACCAAAGCCACAAGCTATTCGAAAATGTAATTTTTACCTCGGTTGTTGTCTTTTAAAGAGTCATGGAGGAGTTGCATTAGCGATCTCACATTATTCCCAGTTCTCTCGTCTCCTACGATTAAATATCCTACAATGCAAGTCCGGGTTTTTTCAAGATTAAGATGTCCGACTTGTCTAGCCCAGTGAGTCTATGTTTACTAAGAGCCTGTGTGAAAGTGCGGTAGTCTAGGAATTGAAGCTATTCTACACCCATTAATTAAATGGTCAGACCACATGTGAAAGTGTCTAGCGGGCTTCACGGACCCATTAGTTATCATGCTTCCGTGTCCAAGGCCTCTAGTTCCATAAAATACAGGTAACAAGCATGACTGCCTTCGCCTGTCGATAATTCCTAGCGAACTTGGTTGCTATATTGCAGGCAAAACTCATTGATCAGGCCTTTGTCTGTGTGTCCGCTTCGACTGTTTTCTTTTTCAGATAGTTCATGGAGAACAAACGCAAAAAACATAAATGGTATAGCTAGTGCTAAGAAAAAGAAAGGTCCTCAGCCGTGAAAGAAACCGCACAAGAAATTTTCTATTCGACATTTCGAAAACCATGCGAAAAACGCAGTGCACCCTTTTTACTCCAGGGACTTTACGCATTAAGGGATCAAACTGGTGGTCGGTAGCCTTTCATCCCTGAAAAATACTTTAAATCTCTCGCAGCGTGTGAGGGCATAAACAGTAGCATGCGCCATCATAATTTATTTAAGGAAAGTTCTGCCAGAGGACAAAAGAAGTGTTCGATGTCCCTCTTAAATCACTGAAGCTTGAAAGAATTATATTCAGTCATTTTCTTGTGCTAGGCTTCCAATAACGCACTTCCACAAACTGTCCATCAGGTAACAATGCTTCCGTCCTCTCTAGTGTCTAAAAATGAGAGTCAGAAAGTCAGCTCCGTGTCCGTCGCAGTGGGAACAGTCATGGCGCAGATGTTCTAGCATGTTTGAATAGCCAAAGTAGACTAGTAAAGGTTGAATACTGCGCTGGTATTCTGACTCACAAAAGTACATTCTGAAAACTAGTAAACCTTCAGTTCGGCCTTGAGTGGACAGCCCAGATTCTGGTCGAATGTACTTGAGTCAAACACGACTCGCGCAAACATGTTTCGTCAAAATTAAAGTGTCAAAAGGCCAAACGCAAACATTCTGGGCTGACATTGGCAGTCACGCAGGGTGGCCTATCTAGTGACGGATACCCTGACCACACTAGCCCATCCACTACGTCCTGGCAGTTGTGGACTTGAACTCGAATGAAACACTCTAACCGAAACTGAACAGCCCCTTTCGCTGAAATATGGGCCTTGCTGAAGCTATTATACGACCGACCAGTTCAAAGACGGCCTGCTTTCTCTACACCACAAGAATGGTCTGTTTGCCTGAAGGGAGAGTGCATTTCGAAGGTCAAAATAAACCGCGTTAGCTTGCCGAGTTTATTGCTAGAGCTTTAGTTGCGGTCTACTAAATACATGAATATTCAGCCTAACTATAATGTGATGTTATTGTGCAACAGTTACTGTGAAAACACAGCAAAAGCAAATACAAGTCGTTGGAAGTAGCCCTAACTTCTGAATGAAGGCCCGGGTATTTCGGCTTCTTCATCAAGCGAATATCCAGGAGGCTCCATGGGACCCGCGGACCTACGCACGCGTCCTCGTTAGCCGTGGCATGGATGATTTATTATTGGTTGTCGAACCGGCCAATCAGACCACCTGGTAGACGCACGAGGCACGCGTGCATGCACATAAGCGCGCATTTGTTAAGGCTTCGCAGGTGCGTGCGTATGTGCAGTGGCGTTAACCCACGAGAGTACTGGCGGTCAGAGTGCATACACACACCCAGCATTGGCCATGGTTCCGGCATCTCGACACCAGGACTAATCTGTAACCTTGTCAACGAGCAACCATGTTTATTACACTACCAATTCAACTCCTTCTCCTCACCTCAACCCCATTTCTGACTCAAGCCCAAAATTCCACTGAAGCGGTCCTTGTTCGCGTGAAGCGCCAGTTTGACTACGGTCCAGATCCCTTCCATTCCCTCGGTGGAGTTAATGAGGATGGCAAAGCAAGAGCACCTCTGGCCTTGGAGCTGACCTACAACCTCACCCTAACCAACGGCCCCAAGGGGAGGTGTGGGGTTTGCGCGAGGACCTACCGAGTGCTTAGGAACTTGCAGCACAAGCCAAGCGTTGAATGTCATCGGTATTCGGACAGTCGGCAAGCTGCTCTCGGAGACCTAACCGAATTCTACCACACGGTAAGCATCACCGGCTTTCTTTACATGCACACACACATCCATGACCCTGCCGTGATCGTTCATGACCTCACTTTTAACAAATTTACCTCAAGTTTGGAAAGCATTAATTAACGAAATGTAAAGCGGTGATTTGCTACCCTGGAATCTGGTTCTATGTGAATATGTTCACTCCAAGTTTTGTTCGGATGTTATCGCAAACAAAAAGTAGGTTTTCTCGTTCCAATTGCAATCGATTACCCCTCACCCCGTCTCAACAGAGAATCGTTCTGGATCTAGGTTTCGGTGTTTTTGTTATTTCCTACACGGTTTTGAGGAATTTAACCTGCCTAATTCAAAGCGTACAAATGTATGCCTCGAGCACGAAGCAAGTAAATTTCCAAATTAAGCTGAAAGCGTCTTGCAATTGGTGGATTTGCGAAGAGGAGACGCGACCAGCTTGCATCGGCTTGTCACAGTTGAGGCCGTCTGACAATTATGCTTAAGCCGGAACTCTGCGGTGAGGCCTCCACCCCCTGGTACCCTCTGCAAATGTCCGAGGGCCTCAAAGGGGCGCGTGCTGGTCGCATGCGAGCGCACACGCGTCGGCCTCGTTTTTGTGCCCCACTTTAACGCCCCAAATTCCAGACGTGTGAGCCACTACGTCATATCCCGAAGGCCACTGTGCTCAGCGGTTCTGGCTGGTTGTCTGCACGAACTGGCCAACTCTCAATAGAGCTGAGCGTCGTGCCCGCCTGTCTCTTTAAGGGGACCATGTGAACCGCTGTCTCTTCTATTTACTCGTGTTGACAGATTAGGTCCCTTATTCTCCCTAGCAAGCTTCACTTCGGGCTCCTCACATGCCTAACGAATCGTATGGGTTTGAGTCCCTACATTTTAGGTGGGTAACCGTGGGTTTTTTAAGCCAGCACCTGTTAGTGGCCATTTGTGACGTTGACATTGACTAATTTTTCACGTTGTCGGGTCGGAGAGTGGGTGGTGCCTAAATAATCAATCGGTTGTCACTCCGCCCTGGCAGTTACCACGACAACCAAATTATGAGTTAGTCCGATACTGTGTTTCTAGCCGCTCAAAAACCCAGAATTATTTTTTAGACACTAGAGAGAGAGAGGGAAGCATTGTTAACACGTAGTTTGTGGAAGTATGCCTGGCACAAGAAAATGAAGTGATTGGTGCAGAAATTTGCTGATCTAGCAAATTTCTGAGTCAGTTTTAGATACTAGCGAATCGGACTGGAAGCCTTCTAGAGGTCTTCGCTACTAACCAACGTGAATGCTTGTTTTGGCAAGTGCACTTATGGGTTGCATTATGAACCGTCGCCATATTTTTAATGCCCTCTCATTGCGTTCGGGAATTTTGAGAAGCGTGTACTCAGACACACTATGCCTATATGTGGGTGGCTGCTTTGTGCGGCACAGTATTAGTGCAAGTATGGTTTCTGACATGTTTTATGGGTGCCAAGACTTAAACGCAATTCGGACGTTGTCTAAATTTCCATGACATGCCGACCTTGTTCGTTACAGTTCTTCTCATTCGGCACTAACACGGTTGCAGCGGTAGTAGTATTAGGTTAAGATGAAAAGCGAACGTAATGTGGCGGTATCATGGGAAAGCGACAGTGAGTGAATGAGAAGGAACAAACGCAGTCACATCAAAGGACATCCCACACGCAAGCCATTTTTGCTCCAATGGTTGCATCAGGAACTTCAAGGAAGGCGCGCTAATCTAATCCACGGAAATAGGGTGATGCTGTGCCTCGAAAGGCCAGTACACAGACAAGAAAAAAGCTTTGACAGTGCCAACTAAGGAGGAACATTTGCGGATGAATTTGATTCCGTGTAAAATGCAGAATTATTCAGCCAGAATCTCTCGAAATTGGAGAATGTTTTGAGCAGTAGTGAAAGCGAATTGTTTGGTAAACATGAAACAACTGCTAAATTTTGCCTAAGTCATCTGTGCAGAAGACCCAATTGCATACACACATAGTGACTACAACAACTCGATAGGAAAGGCCTCGAAAGAAACTGAAGCTAATCTTCTCGAAGTTCTAAGAATAACTTTTAATTAGGTAGGTTGTGAATCAGGAAGCGCAACAAACCAGGTACCACAAAGATGTGTCGTCTCTCACCGGCAGTTTTCTACTTCTTAATGCGAATTTTATACAAATACCGAGTGTGTGAACGCACGTAAACCTGTTCCTTCTCTATCGCAGAAAACTGTTTTTAAATACACGAATTTTGCGCCTGAGTTCACATGCGTACAAGTCTTTACTAGACACGAAGTTAATTGAGTTATGATTTGTCCATCTTAAACCATCACAGACTGTGTGGTGATTGGTTGAAAAGGTTAACTGTAGTAAACAATTTCTTGTTCGGAAACTAAAACCCGCTCTTTGTCGGTGTGTTCAGGCAAATCATCAACGTCGTCTAAAGGTGAATTAAAATGCCGTATTCCATTTGCTTCAAGCAACAATTCGGATTGATTTGAGGCCTTTTTGTTAACAAATGATTGAGCCGTGTGGATGTTTCCTACTTGCCGCACGATAACGTTCTTAGATTGCATCATGAGTATTTTTTAAAATGTATGTTTATTTTTGGCACCTTGGCGTGACAACTCACTCAAACAACAATGGCCCATGGGGATTTCATTGAAAAATCTGCTAAGTCTGCTTAAATTCCCCAATTTCTGGTTTCCATTTTGGTCACTAATGGTTATTTCTGCTGCGTTTTTCTCATCGATACGCTGATGCCTTCGTGTGCTGGTTCTTTTTTCGATCTTGTAATGTGAAATTCCGGAGGCAAAGTGACTGGTAGTACTTGTTCTAATTCATTCGTCACTAACTCAATGTCGGTGATTACCTTGATGCCTAGTGATCACTACATGTTCGAGTGTGTAAGGTGTACTTTCGCATTCGAAATAGAAGCACACTCCCCTTCCTAAACTCCATGGTCTTGTTGTCTCTCTTCCTCCCTGCAGTTAAGTCCATTCTCACTTCAAACGCTGGTAGTTTTTGGTTCAGACACGCCAACGGGCGCACAGGCACACCCCACCCTAAATCGTCAACAAGTCCTATCAGAGGGCTTGACCGGAAGAAGCGATTTTGCTTCTGTCGCAGCAAACTGCCGTCCCTTTGTGACAGAAATGTCTTTCCAACGGTGCACGCTCTACTATCATTCCTCGGGGAAACGGTTTGCGAATTTAGGCGACCAAAGAAATTTATCTGGCTCCGCAAACATCCATCAGCACTCGTCCCATGTGTCTTAGGGGGCATGTAAGGCTTTGCGTCTTTCATCGTAGCGAAATTTACATAAAGAAGTGAGATTACTTGTCCCTTAAAATAGCTGATTCAAATATGATGTGAGGCAACTCGTGCTCTTTCCGCTAAATTACAAGCAGCAGCGAACAAGATCACTCTACATGGATACGACAGGACAGTTTGCCGTGGTAATGGTGCTTTTGTTTTTTGAGTGGGAATTAACTTGCGCTGGCAGTGCATTAAAGCTAGTATTCACCCACCACTTAAGTGCCGTTGATACGCGTCTAATTGGCTTCTCTTGAGTGGAATTAGCTACTCAGGGACATTTTAATTAACTGACTTTGATTTTGAAGTGAATTAAACGTCTGGGCTGCGTTGGTAACTCATCTGTCAAAGCGCTATTAGTGTGGACTCTGTGAAATGCACTTTTCTAATTAAGAAGGTAAGCGTTCGGCGTGTCATCTCTCGGTTTGTACGTTGCCTCTCCTACCCGCAAAATTCTCCAGAGGTAATGGATAGGACAAGTAGGGGGTCACTGGTACGTTGAGCAACGTTGCCAAACGTGCGTTACTTAAATTTTAGTATTTGTTGGTTTTTGGATCAGCTTTCGCATCATGCGTGGCTGCTGCCAATCGTGAAGAGGCTGAACAATGCAATCGTGGCTAATTATCCACTGGCACGGCACGCAAAACAGGCTGAAGTTGACATTAGCTTGAAACCTTTTCGCAAATGTAAACAAATTCGCGGTTCGTCGAGTGTATTGTTCTAAAATCGGCTCACCTTATCTTTACCGCTGGCGTCCGTAGTAAATCAGTTGAACGTCCCATAAATTGACCTATAGCAGTGCAGTGTGTGGGTGCAGTGTGCAGCTGTTTTGACCTAAGCATTCGCCGGCAAAGGGCCTTTTATTAATTCCACGACATTCGAGACAGCAGAACTTCATTCTGAGTGCGTTTTACCCCACAGCAGACAAAATATCTGCATTTACCAGGGCATTGTGTTTTTGATCGAGGCTCCTCTGTACAGGAGAATGCATTTATTCACGAGTTATCACGCAAATAATCAGTTCTCGCGGCGCCGAAATCGCCATTTTGCGCCTGAACTACTACTACAACAGGTCTCTTAATTCCTACTGGCGCAAAATATCAGCAAGTTTTGCTCACTTTGTGTATTTACAAGGCATCGTATTCCGCAATCGTTTCTTGAACCAAAACGCACCAGTGCTGTTTGGGACGTAAGCAGGACAAACGTCACCAACTAGGTCACCGTTTTGAATGATATCATCAGCAAGACCCTTGTTCCCACAGACAGGAGTCTACCTTCTGGTAGGATCCCAATCTCTATTGTCTGCTTATCCATTTACACACAGGCAGCTCTGAGTCATAAAATTGTGTGGTCAATTTCCCAATTTCAGCCCTCTGCAAGACCATAGACTGGTGGCTTAGGCGTGTTTTCAACATACCAGTGATGCTTTTCGTAGTCTAGAATCTCCCTCGTTCCTTGTCCCATTTCTTCCCATAACTGCGAGATTTTCTTACGGTTCTTCTATTTTTTTATCTTTAAACACCTTTTATTCCTGCTATATGCTATGACATGCCTCTCTAAAACGAGTCACTTGTTTAAATAATTCATTTTTAATTTTTAAATATCCCATTCCTCAAGGGACTCAGTAGCAATGTGAAAGGTGCCTATTATTCCCCGTGCTCTTTGATTGGCATATGGTGGCAAATATATCATTGTTTTAGAGTTTAACCCATACAAACAAAATACGGAAGTATTTTTTTCAATCAAGTGACAGCGTCACAATTCTCCTCGTCGTGAGTCGCTTGATTTTGTGTACAAATGTGCAAGTTTGAATGGGAAACTACGCTGCTTAGCTGTATTCCACCTCCTAGGGGAAAAATTTTATAAGTAGCAAGTGAGTGACCACCCACGGTATTTTACAGGCCTTAGGACTTGCGACATTTCCTTAGGACTTCGTTTATGGCCATATTACCAACATGACAAGGTCTAGCAATAAAATTTCCCTCCCAATCCACTGCCCACGCCGTGCCCCCACGGTGGGGTAGTCTCATCGTCCGCCCACGCGTCCACGGTAGTCGTCTGACCGTCTCACCGCCAGGTAGCTCGTTCCGAAGATTTCGGTAGAGGTGAGATGCTGAATATGCCGTTTAAAATCCCTCAATCTGTCATGTGGTGGCTAACGTCAACTGTGACGTTGACATAGGAGATGCTGAAAAGTGCCAAGCGTCGATGGTTTTTGCTGTTTCTGTTTAACCCGTTGAAACAGATTGTCCCTTTAGGCGCTACCGGAGTGGAAAGTCTGAATTGCGAAAGCATACACTCACAGCTTGGCGTCGAAACATTTTATCCCTTGAACAACCACAACGTCGAGCTAGTCTTCAATGATTCCACGCCAACCAAGTCCTTGTAAAACATTGACTGCCATTGGTCAGGGTAGGCCGATGACTCAACGAAATGTAAATTGTCAAATGCATTTGGAATTAACTGCAATCACCGTCTACCTGACCTCTGCCTACTACAATGTCGTCGAAACATTCCGCGAATGGCCCTGGAAGCCATCTTAGTCTGTTGTATCCATCCAAAAGTAAATAAAGTTCAGCTTCATGCGAACTGTGACACCAAGAAACGATAGCTGGGCATGAGTGTTGACTTCTCGTGGGTAGGTCTTCGTTCGCGTGCCTATTCGTACCCTCAAACACTTAGTCGGGCGGTTCTCACACTACCGTCTGTCTCCCCATCAATTACCTAGCAGAATGAAAGCGTCATTGTACACTAGGGATGGATTACATTCCCGTAAAACTTTGCTTACCATCATTAAACCACCCCTAAGCCCTTTAGTTTTTATGAGCACGGTACCACCTTCGTGGAGAATGGACACTGGCACACGCAACTTTATTGCCTCGGCAGTCATTAAGTCCCAGCAATTAGAATCGATGGGTTTTTTTATTATCTTGAGTTTATTTATTCCTTGGTTCCCCTTTAAAGGGGCCAATCACCCCCCACACTACAGCTTAAATTTTTATATGATAGGGAGTTCGTAGATGAGAGTCAATTCATGACTGCACTTAATTTGGTGTTTTGTCCACTTCATCACAGTTCTTTGTGCTGAATTCCCTAATAAAAGTGGTTGTGATTTGCAGAATGTGTACGACCTTTTGGAGCGTGATGTGTTTTGGAGATCTGTTCCACTTCCTCAGAAATTCGTTGGATCAGAGAACAACGTATTGCCGAAAACTGGCTAAAATGTCGAGCACAAAAAATAGCTTTTATTTAGAGAACTACTAAGTTTCCTTTTTGTCGATTTCTAGCTTTACCGCAGCCGAAAGCAGAAAGATACGATAACTTTCATGCTTAGCGATTCCTTCCCCGAGTTTTCTTTGGCGGCCAGTTTCATAAACTCAAATCCGAGCTCTCCACCCTTCCTGATGATCGAAGCGGCCAAATCGGCTGAGCAAGCACTGTGCGTCCAATCACACCGATGCCCCGAGCCGCCGACCACCACGACTTCCACCACTACAACCACCACGACTACGTCAACGACTACCTCACCCAGGTCACCCGCAATGGCCTCCATGCCAGTAATCCCAGCTCCCCTAATCCCTGCTGCAGGCGATAAAACCGGCGACAAGTCGATGAACGGTGAACCGTCGCAAAAACAGCCACCCAACTTCTGGGACGCAGTCATGGCTAACAGCTCCCCTCGAATTTGGGTTATCGCTACAGTGGTATTAGCCTGCGTCTCCCTCGTCCTCCTAATCATTCTAGTATGCACCTGCATTTGGATCTGTCGTACGAAGCGGAGTTTTCGTCGGAAGCGATGTCGCGGCACCTGTCGGTTCGGTTGCAAATGCACACCAGACACAATTCGTCAGGCAGCTGCTGATGCAGCAGTTTGTGGGCCAATCAGCGGCCTAGGAAATGGCTCCGTCCTTACCTACCCCAGTGTTGGGCGTTCCTGGGGACTTTCGCCCAGTACAAAGGCGCCCTTCAATCCACTCTATGTTTCCCTGGCTGCGAATGAAAAGATGCTAGCTGCTCAGGGTTCTGGAACGCCGCCATCGCAGCAGATGTACCCGTCGGGTCAACCGTGCCCTGGGGATAACTGGCCGCAGTACCAAATGTCATTCCAAAAGGGGACAGTCCCAAAAGATCCCATGTGGCGCAGCCACAGTGACGGATCCTCTCTGTCAGACCATACCGTCCCTTCGGGAGTAGGAAGTGGACCATCTGCTCTACGAAACCAGCCCTCAAGGTCGTCCGGTCACCACACCGCTGCTTACCCATTCAACGCTAATCCTTCAAGTGCCACGGCAAGTACGTGTATGCAGAGCTACGTGGGAGCCGTCTCTGGACAGGGCGACCCTGGAACAGTTGATGGGCATCCAGGAAGTCCCGTACGCTTTGAAGACGGACAGGGTTCTGGACAGAATGGATTCGATCACAATGGCATCACTACACAGCCGGTTGAACTGCGTGGTAAGTTTTGATGTCAACAAGCTCACTAACTAAATATCCCAAAAACTTACCGACTCAGAAATCACATGCCTTAAGCCCTTTAAAAGCAGGCGTGAATGATTTTAAAAAGACCTGTAAGTAGCGTCGATTTTCATTTGCTGGATTCATGTTGCCGTGGCTACAAAGTAAAAGCAATTTTGGCACAGCGCAGTTACTAGACTGCATTGGCCGTTTAGGAGGTATGTGACCTCATATAATTTGTGTGAGGGGTGGGTCCGACTAAACACATGTTACGAGTCCGTCGACCGTGGCGCTAACTTTAACTTTCGGGCACTGAATACCAAGGACATATTTGGAAAGCAGTCATGCCTTGGCTTTATTGCACAGTCGCATAATTACCAAGGATGTCCCACGTCGTAATCGCCATCCTGAATAGGGAATTAGAACGTGCCTATTCAAGGGGTAACACACGACCGATCTTTATTTCCTAGGTGGCGACAGGGTTTGTGTCGTGAACTCATCAGCATTGTCATTGCACATTGGAAGATATGGTGCGTCACGTGAAGTCGCTGTGGAATGAATTTTTCCAACTTATAAGCAACTTCATAGTCCGTTTTGTTGATGTTAGACCATAAACACTAGGCACACTTGCAGTCAAAAAAGGTTATCCTACAAACAAACGTTCGCACACATGTTCGTGTCAAGGTAAAGAGCTAATTGGCGTCGACACATATGGCCTTTGCAATTTTCTCCTTTATCTAGGCATAAATGGTGGGCTGTATGATCAAAGCACAGGGGACATGGGGGATACGTTTGCGCAACACAGTGAATTAACGAGCATCACCCCTCCAGCCGGTTTTTACGACCTTAACGGAAAACCAACGACCTCCTCGAAGCTGGACCAGTCGTGGACTTACGGCGGTCACTTACAGCAGTCTTCCTTCGCGCCGTCGAGTAATCAAGGGAATCTGAGTGGTGCAGTCAAAGTTCTGCCGAATGACGCCTTAATGGTGACCAAACAGTCAGCCTTGAACGCCGGCAGCGTTCCTAGCAATTCTCCAGGCGACTACAAACGACGCAATGGCTACCTTAACGGCAATGAGGGGCCCCTTGAGGACACCTCTATGCGTCGGGCAGGAGGCGGCCTCACGTCGCACATTCTGTCCCATCCACTGACTGAGGGTGTGGAACAAAGCTACAGCTATGAAGGGAATAGCGACACCCCGCTAAGAGCCTGGACCGACGCGTTGGCGCACTAAAAGGACCTTCAACCCAGTTCGCTTCTACCCTTCGCGTACTCAATCTTGCCAGTACGGGTTCGCGGATATCTCCCTGTAAATTAACTTGATATGTGGCTGCTATACCACCGGTCTCCCACCCTCCCTTAACCTTTTTCTGACCTGGGCCAGCTAACGTTTCCCTTTATTTACTGTACTTGTTCCTCGACCGCCCCTCCCAGTGGCCATTAGATACGTCTTCTAACGCTGCTCGCTAAACTCACCCCGTTGTTCGCGTTTTTTTGAAAGACTTACACACCTTGCGCTTTAAATAACGTATACGAGTTCCCAGAATTGGTCGGAGCGCAGTTTGTTGTAAAAATACCCATAAACTCACGCCAGCATCTATTAATACTAAATGATTTTAGCTACTTACGTCTATCTCTTTGATATTTCGAATTGAGCCAGTTTGCTTAGGCAATTTGATATTTTAATAGAGCAGAAAAAGTGTTTATTTACATAGTCGCTCAAAGTACGCTGTTAGTTTAAACAAAAAAATGAGTAGGGCAACTTTGAAAGCCCAATGAGCCGTCAGCCTTGACGATACTTAGCAAACACTTAAATATAGGATAGTCAACAAACCCGGAAACGAAATGAAAGTTGGTTTTGTTTGCTGTTTAAAATTTCACAAAATCAGTAAAAGTTGGCGAACTTGGCGTTGTGAACCCACACGATAACAAAAAAATGACCAGAGTGTAACCAGAGACATTAGCACAGTCCAATGTCATGTTGGTAGAGCAATACCGACTTTGGCGTAATTCGGAATAGTGGGACGATGTCTCGACGTGTAATATTTTTAGAGGCGGAATAGTTCTGTCAACAAAGTACTCTGTTGGTGATGTATATTAACTAAATTCAGAGTCTGATATCTCCGATGGGCGGTGTTGATTTCCGTGGTTTTAAAGTACTTGCACTGTCTAACTTGTTCTTCTTCCTTAAAGATGTTTTTTTCAATCAAAACACTCATCTTGGTTGCTGATGTCTAAAACCGTGCATGCTCTAGGGCTAGTCTTCAACACCGAAATTACGCAAGCCAGGTAGGTCGTGTTACACCGACTTGGTACCTAGGGAGTTTCCACAAACAAGTAAACTTAACCTCAGCGTCCTCACGACAAGTGCTAAATATGTGCAATTTAATAAGCAAAAACCATAGAAGTTGACTGTTACTGCAGGAATATTGTGAAGGTTAATTTAACTAAATTTGGTTTGTAGTCGTCACATTCACCGCCACACTGGTCCTCTTTTCAGGAAGGCCCCAATCGATCTGGCGAAACCGTTTGCTCACACACCCCTGTGCGTGTACCTCCCCCACACTACCCGCCGTTTGTACTTTTACAGGTTCCTTCTGGCTGTTGTGATCAACACACCCCATGTGTCCGACACTATTTTGTTACGCCCAGTGGCGCGACATCACGCAAGTAGGCTGAGCAATCTAATCAATGATTGTCCCAGCCATCTCTAGTCCTCTTTGTCACCCCTGCTACCAGTATAGAGCAGTCGAGCCAAGCTCAACTCTACCTGTAGCATTTTCGAGTAAATGGAATTTCAACATATCCCTGAAGGAGTTTGTAATTAAATGCTACCACAAGTCTCCACTAATCTTGGCACACCAGTTTCTGATTCCTACTTTCCGACTAACTCCGTGAGCAGCTTCAATAAACCAAAGTCGGCTGAAATTGCAGAAGTAGAAAGGAATATTTGCAACTGGTGACAATTCTTGAAACTCGCATTGACGCCCAGGTTCGATTTATTGCTTCAAATGTAGTTTTAAAACATGCAATCGGTCAGTAATGTGCCATTTCAAGAAATAGCTTAATTCCATTGTAGTAGAAACTGATGGGTTCAATTCGAGTATTACTTGATGGATTTAATTCGAGGTGAATTGGTCATTTTCGATAAGGTGGCCTGGTCTTTTCATGGTAAAACGTTTCTGCTTTGTGGTGGCCACCTGGGTTCCCTTTCTATCTCGATGACTTGATCACCTTACTGGGTCCAGAGTCTCCACACTAAACTTCACTGTGTCCAGAATCCAACTCCCATCTCCGCTAATTGGTTGTGTAAAACATTATTCACCTTCACAAGCCTTAGGTTTACTAAATTGCAAATACCTACGACTCAGGTAATTTTCAGTTTCCTGAATTACTGATTTTTGAGACGACAAATCGGATCAAATTACGCATCCTAGGAGTCTCTAACACCACATGCATCTATTATAAACGTCATCTCCATGGATACGACAACTCTGTGTGATTGTTATAAGCGTTATTTCCTATTTTGTAGCAAAAAAGCATCATGCAATGAAAATGCTCACCCTTGCTAAATTTATCTTCGCGCAGCTGAGACTGGGGACCACCAAAGCAACTAAATTTAAGTCAGTTCTCAGCTGATGGACACGACTCGCAAGTGAAAGTTACGACAAACTGAATAATTTTTTTCACTTTTGGCAACAGAATTTGTGAATTTTTATTCCTGTCATTCCTTCCTAGCACTAAATATTTTTTCTCAACCACGCTTCCCAAACACTCATGTGTTGCTCAAGTTTATTTTAATTTGCAGCATTCGTAGTTTTTTCGTGGATTGTTGTCTTTTCCACTTGCTAGCCATAAGCCTTCCATGGAAGTGGGAAACGAATGTGCTTGTTATTAACTCTGAGCCTGTATTCTCATGGTTTGATTGTCTCCACTTTGCCGGTATATTCTTTTTTTTAAGAAACCTCCTAGTTTCCAAGTCCACCAACACAAAGAAAGTGCAGCTTTGATAGCCGTGGTACTAAATTGAATAGCTAGGCCAATATAGCTGCTTTTGCGGATTGGTAAACTCGTTGGAGTGGACTGCAATCGTCGTGTACCAGAATAGACTGGACGGAATGAAACTGTCGTGAATCGTGTTGATTCAATCTATAACGTCGCATCCTCCAATACACCGACCTCTTTTCACAGCTTGTCCGTCAGTCACGTGGGACCGTCTGCTTTCACGGCCCTGTGCATGTACTGTACCCACTTCCCCCTTTCATTTAGCTGGCCATTTGTACTTTTGTAAGTCCATCTGGACTGCATGGGTCAACAACCGCATTAGCCATGCACCACCTCTGAATGCACCCACAGGACAACTATTTGGCAATTGGTTGTCGCCACCATATCCGGTGTTCTAAGTCTAAACGCGAATAAGTGTGGCGTTCTCGTGCCAATGCGGCAACGGTGGCGGCCTAGGTGTGGTTCAAGACCCCATACTAGTGCCTCCAACAATACGATCTTGTTACGGCATTTCGTTCGGCAAATTAGACAAATATATGCATGTAATGGACAGTTGGCTATTCGAATGGAGTTATTTTAACTTTTGACAATCAGATGCTCGCATTATGTGGACCAATTAGGATGACCGGACTCACGAGGCGAAAGAAGATTATCATCTTAGCCGGTTAAACTGTTATTTCCTAGGAGGTGGCAGCCACCGGGAACTTATGGAACAAAGCAGAAAATTTTCTGCTTTCAGCATGGGTACGGCTTACTTTAAATGAGATGGGGATGATTGTACTTTGACTGCGATGGGAGAAATTCACTTCCTCAGACATTTATCTTGAGCAAGAAACCAGGACAGTTCCCATAGTTTGTTACAGAGGAAACTTACCCTAACTGATTACTGAATATGTTGCCTGCCACTTTCTCAGGGTGGGAAATTGCTTCCAGGAAGATCGCGAATTAACAATAAACCTGCAACCGAAAACAGCCCATTCTAATTGTTTTATGACTCGAATCTAACAGTGCAAGGCGTGTAAATCAGAAGTTCAAACTGGTCCAAAACCGGAGTCGGTAGACAATTATATCGAGTTACTTGACTGCTAAATGTCCCTCTTCTCCCGTTTACGAAATCCTGGGCCAACAAAATGGAAATTTATGAGTATAACAAAGAATTTCTGTATAAAACTTGCTTTCAGAGATGAATGAAAATCTGTGCCATCTCATCACTTATTCATGGAGGCTTGGAGTTAGGCCAAAACAATAGAATAGCTCTGTTTTTAAGTTATTGTCCCATGATAAAACAGCACCCACAAGCAAGGCTGATTTGGAGGTGGCCAATGATGGCGACCTTAGAATTAAGTGGAAGTGGTCACCTGAAGGGTATCATGGAGTCTCACGGTAATTGAATGCTTTCTTTGACAGCCAAAGCAATATTGGTGCTTAATATACTGAATTCAAAGCCTCACAAGTTCTAGTACATATGAAATCTACCGCGTTTTACACATTGGGGAAAATATATCTATGGAATCAGCGCTTTATTGGTGAGCCTGGTGGCAGAGAAGGGAACTGGTCAAGTTTTCCGCAACTCTTAAGCCCTCTGCAAGAAGACACGCGGGAAATTTCAAGCGTGATGCTGAACACATGTAAGGTTTGTTAAGGAGAACTTTTGGACACGTATTGTTGGTGGTGGATGCTCCTAGTGTTGCAACTCAGACATGTGGTAGCGACAAAAACGTCGCGCTAGTAACAAGGATAACGGCCAAAGACAATTACTGGTTTTGCCAAATGAGATTGACCATGCGAAGTGGCGTTTGATTGTGATTGGAAATCAGGACAGGCAGTTGGTGGTGGATGGAAATAGCACCGAGTCAAACGGGTCTTAGGCAAAGACGACTGTGGGTAGGAAAATTTGCAGTCTAAGAAAAGATTATTGCCAGTGGAACACATCTGTAAATCCCTGTAGCACTGAATGTGGTCGATAAACACGACATCGCCGATTTACCAAAAAAAGGCACGAAGTAACGTAAATTAGTGAAGCGCTTGTGCAGTTTAAACAAGCACAATGGCTAAAGTCACGTGATAAGTGGCGCGTCTTACCAATTCCAAACACCCGTTTAGCCACGCCTGTGCATTCGTTCTGCATCCGCTGACGGCGCTTGCCACCTGCTTGTCAATAGGAGCCCCTGATCTCTCGATTTATGGCTTTGTCACAGGCTGCTGTAAGAAAGTAACCACAGTGCACAT